GTATTTGTAGTTACCACTCTTAGGCATTTCAGTAAAATCAATCTGTATTCGTGAAAAGGGTCTTACAGCTAATTTGTGACCTCCTGGAATTGTTTTTCGTTGATGTTGTTTGTTTACCCTTTGACAAGTTAAACAGGATCTTACTATTTCCTTTGCTATATCATGTATTCCTATACACATATACTGCAGGGCAAATTGGTTGACAAGGGCTTGGGTTCCCCTATGTGTTTTTTCATGTATTCTCACCATAATTTGGCGAGCTAAAGTCTTTGGGACAACTTGTCTCCCATCTTCTAATTTCCATTTTCCTTGTTGTTCTTCTAGACCCATTTTAGTCAAGCTTTCTTTTTCTACTTGAGTAAATTTATGTACATCGTTTATTTTTTCAGACTCCATAGAGGAGTTTGGCATTATTTTTACAACCCCCAAAGCTACCCATTTTGCCTCCATGTCTGCTAAATTGTTTCCTCTTATCTCAAAGGTTGTTCCTTATTGGTGTCCTTTTATATGGACTACTGCAATGCTTTCAGGTTCTCTCAGGGGCTGGAGGATTTGAATTATTAGCTTTTCATGAATTAAGCCTTTTCCTTGAGAATTTATCAATCCTCTTTCCTCCCAAATTTTTCCAAAAGTATGTACTACACCATATGCATATCTAGAGTCTGTATATATCGTGCCCCGTCTATTCTTCAATAGTTTTAAGGCCTGTAATACTGCATACAGCTCACATGCCTGCGCGGACCACCTGGGGTTCAGGGGTCCTGATTGCACAACACTAAAGTTTTTCCCGTCTATAACGGCATATCCTGACTTCCTTTTCCCTGAGCTGCTAGGCAGAATTGTAGTGGATAGGATTCATAGCTTAATATTTAAGACATTCTTGTTCAAACAGTACCTTTAGAAAGAAAAGGAACAGAAGATAGCAGGGTCACAAAGTCTACAAACTTGGCAAGTTTCTGCTTTAAGATACATAAAATCGGCTTGTACCAAACCTGAGGTTTGGACAGGAGCCGAAACCCTACTGAGTCTGAGTGAAAGCAAGAGGCTACCCGCGTTGATGAAGAGGAACTACAGGCCTTCATCCTCACTGCCCCCTAACGACCACCACCAGGAGGCACTGCGCAGGCACACCAATGGGACGAATGCCAGAAAAACTAATTATAATGTCAGACAGGAATAGGTTTTGCATACGTATTAGGCGTGAAGCAGTCTTATTTTTAGGTAGTCATTATATGTAATATAAACAAACTGAGTGGCAAAGGGGGTGTGCATGCTTTTGGAGGAGCAACCCCCATGCGCCTCAGCTGAATAAAGCATACCTACTTTACAACCCTGACGAGTTGTGGAGTCAATCTGCGTGTCAGCAGAGGTCAGACTTGGGGTCTGTTCCTTTCTGCTGCACTGTTATAAAAACCTAATATCGCCAGTCTGTTTTAATCGGTTTTTATTATCATTAATATCGAGAGACAATAAGCAAGCAGCGCTGGGTGCGCCGGGGAGTCTCCGCTCCACCCAAGACGCACGAGGGGAACTTCTGGGCATAGTCGCTTATACTTTTTGGTCTTGGCTTTCAGCCAATCCTGTTGTCTTCTTTTCCCGGGCTTCTCCACCTGTTGCTGGGGTCTGGTCTCTGGGTGAAGAAATATTATGTCTCCCACAAGTCTGACCGCCATCTTAGCCCCCATAAATTCCACTCCTTAGGTGTTTCTTTGTTCAGAACACAGGTTTCACAACGTTCTGCAACAGGACATATCTCTAAGTTACCTATTCCGCCACCCCCCCTTTTCTAAGAACATCCATGCAATTTAAACAATGAACAAAACGTTTATTTGCACAATACAGCGGTTGACCCAAGGGAATTATTCCCTTGTTTCTTCTTCCTCCTCACTGTGATATTGACAGGGACACTTATCATGCCCTTTGCACATAGCACAATGATCACAAGGGATTCCATCGCCACACAAAGTGCAATGATCACTAGGACCCCTGAGTTGCTGACAGGCATCACTCTGATGTAACTCAGACGCAGGCAATGATTTTTCCTGTGCTGATTCCTGCCTTGCATCGTGTTGAACACCACGGGCACAGTGGATCCCGACGCCCTGCATCCTCCAGGGAGGAGCCGTGGGGGCTTCTGAGCAGTCAGGGGCCTGCAGCATCCTGCTCCACGGACAGGGACCATTGCTCCAGATCTTAGGCACTCAGAAGCCAGAGGGCCAAACATCAGTCCACTGTCCTTATGGCAGGGAGTGGTTGGGATCCGATGCTCAACCAGCTGAAATGAGAGCAGGGACATAGCAGCAGTGGCAGAACAGCAACTACATAATAAGCCAGGAAATAGCGGCCAAGAAAACAACAGAAAGGAAACAGCATCCAAGGAAAGTCTCATGAGCTCCTACATGGCGCAAGAGCTTAACTGGGGTGCTGGCATCGCCACCATCACACTTACGCTATGCCACGCTCCTCCAAATCTTCTTCGGAGCCCTCCCCATCGTAGAGCTGGGCCAGGGACGCCTCCTGCTGGGCCTCGAGGGGCTGGAGCACATACTGCAGCCACTGGGGTTCCGACTGGAGCGACTCCTGAGGGAACTGGGAGGGCAGGGATTGGGAGTGGTGAGAAGCAGGCACGGGGCAGGGAACAGGCAGACGGGAGGAGCTGGAGCCTGCCCCTGCCCTTACCTCTTCCTCGTCCGTGTCCGTGTCCTTGCTCCTGTTGCGCCACTTGACTCGCAGGTCCTGAAAGCGCCTGGAAACAAGCGGGAGCAGGGGGATGAGAAGCGAAGGATGAACTCCTGTGGTGCTGGAGGAGATGGGGGGGCTCTGGGCAGGGCTGGGCCCTGTTTGTGTACACGTGTATACATGTGCTTACGCGTGTGTATAAGTGTACATGTGCTTACACGTGTACATGTGTACCTGTGCTCACATGTGTGTACAAGTGTGTACATGTGCTTACACGTGTGTACATGTGTACCTGTGCTCACAGGTGTGTACAAGTGTGTACATGTGCTTACACGTGTGTACACGTGTGTACCTGTGCTCACAGGTGTGTACGTGCGTACATGTGCTTACACGTGTGTACGGGTGTGTACATGTGCTTACTCATGTGTATGTGTTTACACTTGTGTACATGCGCTGACACGTGTGTTCGTGTGTACGTGCTCACACATGTGTACAGGTGTGTACATGTGCTTACACGTGTGTATGTGTTTACACTTGTGTACACTTGTGTACACACGCTGACACGTGTGTACATGAGCTGACACGTGTGTACAAGTGTGTACATGTGCTCACACGTGTGTACAGGTGTGTACATGTGCTTACATGTGTGTACAAGTGTTTACATGTGCTCACACGTGTGTACAGGTGTGTACATGTGCTTACACATGTGTACGTGTTTACACTTGTGTACATGTGTGTACATGCGCTGACACGTGTGTACAAGTGTTTACATGTGCTTATACGTGTGTACAGGTGTTTACATGTGCTCACACGTGTGTACAGGTGTGTACATGTGCTTACACGTGTGTACAGGTGTGTACATGTGCTCACACATGTGTACAAGTGTACATGTGCTCACACATGTGTACGTTTACATGTGCTCACACGTGTGTACAGGTGTGTACATGCGCTGGCACGTGTGTACAAGTGTTTACATGTGCTCACACGTGTGTACAGGTGTGTACATGTGCTTACACATGTGTACGTGTTTACACTTGTGTACACGTGTGTACATGCGCTGACACGTGTGTACAAGTGTTTACATGTGCTCACACGTGTGTACAGGTGTGTACCTGTGCTTACACGTGTGTGTTTACACTTGTGTACACGTGTGTACATGCGCTGACACGTGTGTACAAGTGTTTACATGTGCTCACATGTGTGTACAGGTGTGTACATGCGCTGACACGTGTGTACAAGTGTTTACATGTGCTCACACGTGTGTACAGGTGTGTACATGTGCTTACACGTGTGTACATGCGCTGACACGGTTGCACATGCGCTGACACGTGTGCAGGTGGCTCTATGCGCTCGCGCAGAGCATGACGCGACCGTGGCCCGGGGACTCACCCCGTCTGCGCGGTGACGTCAGGAGGGGCGGGGCGTGCGCTCTCCCGGGGAGGCCGGTACTTCCGGGTGCCCCGGCGGCGGCGCGGAGCCGGTGAGCGGGGCTGGTGCGGGGCGCGCAGGGACACGGCGTGGTGGGGTCTGGGGGCAGCAGGGACACGGAGGGCGGGGGGGTGCAGGGGTCTCTGGAGCCCGATCCGTGCGTGCCCCCCCCGGCCGTGGGCCAGCCAGACCCCACACGCATGGGACAGCCCTGCCCTGCCGGCAGCCTCAGCCCCACCCTGAGCCCCCCAGGGTGCGGGGTGCCCACGCTGTGGGTCAGGTGCTCCTTTGCAGGGGCGCCCGGGGGTGGGGGTGTTGATGGTGTCTGGTCCTCGACCCGCTCCCTCCAGTGCTCACACCTGGAACCTCTCCACATGGTTCCTCCCCACAGACCTGATCCCGGAGATCCCAGCACCAGGGGCATCCCTCCCGTTTCCTCTGGGTTCTTGTTCACGGTGTTCCCAATAAATCGCTCTTTCTCACTTAAAATGAGCAGCTTCAAACAAGCTCCAAGTGGTTCTTGTGTCCAGAAACAGAGGGGTTAAACACCCGGTTCTTGTTTCCAGAGAACCCCGGTTCCGCCGTCGAGGGATGCGAGTTCCCAGCGTGTCAAATGGCCACAGGACCAACCGGGAAGTGCCAGCACCGGGCACCCCAAGCCGCGCAGAAGCTGGGGATATAACCACGGGAGCACCGTGCAGCAGCGCGCCGGGGGGGTCCCAGCACACCTCGCCCTTGCCTGGCGGCTCTGGTGGCTGCAGCGCTGGGGAAGGTCAGCCCCAGCCTCCCCTGCCCACCAGGGCCTGGCACAGGAGCAGGCAGCAGCTGGGCACAAATCCTCCTTCCCCCGTGTCTGAGGCACCAGATCCTGCCCTTGGCGGCAGCGCTGGGGGCTTAGCGGCTGCTTTCCCTCTGCGGCTGCTCCTGTCTGTGGTGCCGCGGGGCAACACCTTGTTGTGGTTCATCAGCAGAGACCCTTCTCCATCCACCATCAGGTTGGTCAGCAGCAGGGAGATGCTCCCGTGGGGAAGCGGGTGGTGTGTTGGTCCCCATCCCTCGCACAGTGCCAGCATTCCGGTGGTGGGAATCATGGCTGGGTGCAGAGGAGGAGCTGAGGTTGGACTGAGAGGGTCCTGCCACTGCTCTGAGCCTGCCCTGACCCTCGCTGGATGATATCCAGGAGGTTTTATCCCACAGCAAGGCAATCCCCTGGTCGTGGCAGCTGATTTTCCTGCTCCCAGGCTGCTCCTGCTTGGAGTCAGCTTGTATTTAAGTGTGGCTGGGTGTGCATGGGCTCAGGAGGGGAAGGCAGAAGCTGGGTAGGAGGAGAGAGTTGTTCCAGTCCTGGCCCTTGGACTCAGGATGCCATCCAATCCCTCGTTCCCTGGGGCAGAGGGTGACTGGTGCAGTTCTCGTGCTTGGAAAATGACTGGCTCCATGTCCAGGCCTTGAGTCACTGGCTCCTGCCATCGTGGGCTGGTGTTTTCCACTGGCAGACCACGAGCACTGACCTGCTGCTTATGTATAGCTCAGTGTTGTTGTGGGGACTGTGAGGAGCCAGGACGGGGTCTCTGCCTCTCCTGACACAAGGCTTCATTCCAGCAAAGCCCTCCCAAAGGACCGGGCTGTTAGGAGCAGCTCTGCTCTCGCTCCAGTGCCTCTGCTCCCTGGTAGGTTGAACCGCTCCGGTTTGCTGCTGGTTTCTCTTGGCTTCACTTGAGCTGTTGGCTCTGCCTGCATGGACTCCGGTGTGGTGACTGCTGGGAAGGGACGTGGGGCTTTTCCCGCTGTAGCTGTGCTTGCCTGGGCATTGGCACATCCATCCCATCCCATCCCTTTTCTGTCTCAGATCACCAGGAACAGCTGGGGCTTTCCAGAGTGTGCTGGAAGGGCTCTGGAGCAATCCAGTTGTGGCGCCAGCACTGCTGGTGCCATTCCCTGTGTCCCACCAGCCTTGGGATGGCTGAAATTCCCCTCAGAGCTGGTTCCTCGCCCTTGTAATTCAGGAAAATGCTGTCCCAGCAGGAGCGGTGCCATGTGGATTTGCGATGCTGGGACAAACTGGTTGGACTGGTCGTGGTGGGAGTGGAGAGTCCCATGGTGGAGGTGGTGGGTGTTAGGAAAACCGCAAATGGTTTGGGTTGGAAGGACCTTGAAACTCATCCAGTCACTTGGGTGTCTCCTGAAGCCCCCAGCAGCTCCTCGAGCCCCTGAGCAGGGGTCCCACTCCTGTAACCGCTGTGCTCCCCATTCCTGTGTCGCAACCCAAAGAGAGGAAATCTCATGATGAGTCCTGGTGAAAAGAGTTTCCTTTCATGGGAACTCGTCTGTGAACTCCGGGAACACGGAGGATCTGTCCGGGTTTGTCCACACAGAGCTCTTCACCGGCTGGTGCGGGGCACGCGTGGGGTGCTCCGGATTTGGGCTGCTCTGGACTGGGAGCGCTGCTGCTGCCTTCGGGACCAGCTGTGGCCATGTGGGAGCTGCTCTGCAGATGTGTTTATGCCCTGGTTCGACCGCTCGTGGGGCAGGGAGAGGGGCAGGTTGAGGCTTCAGCTCCAATGTGGGGAAAGCTTCAGGCCCGATGTGTTGGCTTGGAAACAGCAGTGTCACTTCCAAGGGACACCTGGAAGTGTCGGTGTCACACCCAGACCCTGCGGTGAACTGCTGGGCACCTCCTCCATTTGGATGGCAACGGGCTCTAACTGAAGGGAGTCAATTCCTTCTCCAACCTCACACACCCTCGGAACGCTGCAGGGTGCCAGAGCAGCTCTTGGACCCTGTTCAGCCCCAGAACATGCTGTATTGGAGCAGGGATGCAGCTCTGCACCCAGCACCTCGCTGACACTGACATGCTTTGCTCATAGGGCCTCCAGGCACAGCTTGGGTTTGCTCTGAAGAGCAGGGCAGGGCTCCAAAAGGCAGAAATCAAAGTTCCCTTGTGTGCTGTGACCCTGAAGCATGGCTCAGGTTCTGCCATGGTTTCCCAGGAAGACACTGGTTTTGTTCTTTTTCCGACCAAACCCAGCTGCAGCAGAGCAGCCCTTGGGAATGGGGTGATCTTGGGGTTCATCTGCCTCTGAATGGAGTAACTGCAAACCTGATGGGGAGCCTGCATCCTTCCTTCCTTCCTATTTTCCCAGACAGCTCTGTGCCATGGGATGAGCACCTGGGCACCTCCAAGGGGATCACAGAATCCCAGCCTGGTTTGGGGTGGAAGGGACAAGCAGGGACCCCTTCCACTGGAGCAGCTTGCTCCAAGCCCCTGTGCCTTGAACACTGCCAGGGATGGGGCAGCCACAGCTTCTCTGGGCACCCTGTGCCAGCGCTTCAGCACCCTTGGTCTCACCCTGGGTCCATCCCCACTGGCTTCAGCAGTAGCATCGGTCTCGAGTTCCAGAGAGCTGAGCTGCCATTGCCTCTGCCCGGGGTCTGCTGGGCAGTGACTGCCTCTGTCCAGGCCACCTTCATGCCATTCCCATGGTTTGAAGTGCTGTCATACAGGCTCAGTTGCTAAGCGCCTGGTTTGGTTCCCTTGGTGGCACCTGTTCATTGCAGGAGGTGTAGAAACAGAAGGAAAACCATGGCCCTGTGTGCTTCACTGCTTGCTTGGCTGCCCTGGCATCTCCCCCAGGTTGAGGGCAGCTTCCAGGGGATAATTTACTCCCTCTTGGTCTCTTGACTATGCTCTTTTTTGCCTGACCCCCTCCTCGTCGCGGGAAAGCGTGGTGTGTTTCAGTGTGGTTGGAAGTGGGTCGGTCCCAGCAGCATCCTGGCTGTGAGCGCTTGCAAAATCCCTTGGTGGAGGATCTGTGCCTCTTGTGGGGCAGGCATGGGAGGTGTCAACCAGAGGGGTGCTCAAACGTTCCTCCTCCTTGTCCCAAAGGTGACATGTGAAGGCAGCGCCCGGTACAGGGAGCGGCAGCAGCTGAGATGCATTCGAGCCACACTGATGACCCCAAGGAAGCCATAGAGGTGAGTGAGGCACCCCAGTGCTCCCACACAGCGCCAGTTCCTCCCCAGTGAGACTCCAGTTACCAGCAGGGTCATGGTGGGACCTGTGGGTCCTGCCAGCTGGAATTGGGATGGGTTCTATGGGCAAAGGTGGCTCCTGCTTTGCAGGACAGAGGATCCGTGGTGGTTTGTCTGGTGGGAGGGTCAAAGAAATAGGGCAGCCACGAGTTAAACCACACCAGGCTCCACCTTGGGCTTTGCTTCTCGTGGCAGGACCCAGCAAGGGCCAGGGGCAGCACTCAGCACTGGTGCCTGGGGGAAGCAGCGTTGCTGCTCCCTGCATTTGCCGTTTCCTTCCCCAGGTCTGGGAGTCTGAACACGTTGTCAGGAGCCAAGTTCAAACCCCGCGGTTCTTCCCGGTGTTCCCTTCACCCCCAGCAGAGTTAATTCCTGTGCGGCAGATGAGATCAGTGGCACTCTTTAATCCTGGGAGCCCACGTTTGCTGCCTGCGGGAGGCTGGCTGGTGCTGGCAGCAGAGCTGGGGGTGTCTGGCAAACAGCCCTGCTCCAAGGGGTGTCCCTGATGCGAGCAGGGACGAGGTGCATGTTCTGGCTGTTCCCCTTGAGCTACAGCTGCTGGGAAAGCAACAAATATCCTGGGCTGGAAATAGAACCTGGGTTTGTGCAGCCAAGCCAGGCTGGAGTCACAGCTCTGCTCCTCCCCAGGCGCATGGAATGCTGCGTGGGGGGTGTTGAAATGGGGCTTGTTAGTGGGATCCTGGCTGGATTCACAGTGTTTACCAAATGCCTGCTGGGAATTGCAGCTTTCCTTTTCAGTGAGGTTGATTGAGACACCCGGGCTCAGCTGCACTGAGGAGAGAATCCTCTCCACCAGCATCAGATTGTGAAACTCCCTGCGCTTGCTCTGGCTGGTGCGAGACAGGGGGAGGCAGAGCTACTGGAAGGGAAAATTCTCATGTCCCAGCTTCAGAGCCTCTCTGAAGGCAGCAGCTAAACCCCAGCCATCTTTCCAAAAGCATCTTTCGGGGGGAGGGGCTGTCCCCAGTAGCACCAGGGGGTTGATGAGCATAGCCAAGCTGCTCAGAGCACTGGTGGGATCGATGGCTTTGATTCCTGCCCATGGGACTTGTTAGAGCATCACATGCTGCTTGGGCTGATCTGCATGAGTTCAAGTCCTATCCCAGCCCTTGCTTCCTCCTTTTGGTTTCTGTTTTCTCACCCGAGCTTATTTAATCTGTGCTTCCCTGAGCAAGTGTATGGAAGGAGCCAGTTTCTCCCTATCCCAGAGAAGCTGTGGCTGCCCCATCCCTGGCAGTGTTCAAGGCCAGGTTGGATGAGGCTTGGAGCAAGCTGCTCCAGTGGAAGGTGTCCCTGCCCATGGCAGGGGTTGGAACTGGAGTTGCTTTAAGGTCCCTTCCAAGACAAACCAGGCTGGGATTCGATGACTCTTCAGCAATTTGGTGTCTGCAGGGGAAGCATCACACACTCTAAAGGCAATCCCAGCAAGCCCATGGGCTCCAAACCACCAGCCACAGTTGCACAAATTACTCTGTTTACAAACTAAAGCCAGTTGAACTGTGATGCCATGAGGCGAGTCCCCAGCTTGAGCAGTTCAGCTGTGGTCCTCCCTAACAGTCACATGGTGCTTCATTTTGGATAAGCCTTGTGGTTTTGCAGGCCTTTTATATGAAACCTTCCTTAATACTTCCTTTTTTTTAAGCCAAGCTTGTACCTCCTGTCTTGCAGCTGATCAAGAAGCAGCTGGTGAACGCCATCAAGGCGCTGCAGAAGCAGTACGTGACCTCAGATGCTGTTGTAACCAGTGATGATGGGAATGCCAACACCCTGTGCAGTGCTCTGGAAGCTGTCTTTGTGCACGGGCTGAAGGCAAAGCACATCAAGACAGAGAGTGGGGGGAAAGGGAAGAAAACAGGGAGTCGGGCACCACTTCCCCAACCAGTCTTCTGGGATCTTTTGAAGAGCATCACCCACCGGTGAGTGCGCATCCCTGCCCAAACAGGGTTTGTACTCTCAGGTTTGTCCCCTCTCCTTGGGGCAAAAGCCACAGCATTCAGGGAATGGCCATCAGGAGGATGGCTCAGTGGAAAGATACGTGTCCACCCATCCCGTGTGCTCAGTCCCTTCACATGCTCTCCTAGGGTGTCTTGGCATCACGATGATGCCGAGCTGGGCACCCTTTTCTTATGTTTGGGTGCCGGGCTGTGTAGGGGACTCAGTGTCCCCAGTGGGACCCGGTGACAGCAGCAGTGGGTTATGAGATGCACAGCGCAGGGTCTGGTCTCTCTTTGGAGATGGTTGTCCTCAATTTCCCCATGTCCCAACCAGCCTTTGAGGGGGTCTCACCTCAGTACCTGTCATTTGGTGGGGGATTTCTGAGCCACTCCCTAAGCAGAGTCCTCCCACAGTAAAGAGCAGCCCACACACAGAGAGTTTTGAAAGCCTCGTCCAACTTCATCACCGACTCATAAATTATAGAAGAGTGGATGAAAATAACTCTTCCACATGCTGCGGGGATATTTTGGGGGATATTTTTGTGCCCTTTGAAGGTGTTTTTCTCTTCCTTGAGAAACAGATTTAAAAAAATAATTACGATACTTTTGTTCTGGTTTTTGAGGCATCTGGGACCAGGCAGGATTGGGGAGTGTGGTGTTGCTGTTGGATTGTAGGGGGGGAATGGCTGAATTGAGGAGGTTGAGGTTGCTTGAGTTCAGCCTGACCTGGTTAGGGTTTTTTTTTGAGATGCCACAGCAGTTTTCTCTGTGTTTTGGCTGACTTTAAATGCGAAGCTGGGCTTTGTCACCATGAGTATCCAGCCAGAGCAAGCCCCACCAATGTGCAGGAACAATGGGAATTTCCCCCTCTGCATCCTTGGTTCAGGGAGATGCCTTCAGCCAGAGAGGACAAGCACCCAGAGGTACCCCAGGGGTGCCTGTTACCAATATACTTAGCTTTGGAACTAGATGATTTTAAGGTCCTTTCAAAGCCTAACCAGTCTGTGATTCAGAAGCTCTTTTTCCTTTGTGGGGAACCATGTTTTCCATGAAGGAGAGAGATTTTCCACAGACCTGTTCCAACTCATAAACACCCCACAGCAGAGCAGGATGGGCAGTTCGTGATGGGAGATCTGCCCCTCCTGCACCCCGTGATGGACCAAAACCAGAGTTGCTCGCATCCTGTTCTGTTCTTTTTCTCCCTTTTCCCTAGAAATATCATCTCTGAGTTGGAGCAACTCATTTTTATCAACACGGATGTGGGGCGCTGCCGAGCCTGGCTGCGGCTAGCTCTCAATGATGGCCTCATGGAGTGTTACTTGAAGCTGCTGCTGCGGGAGAAGTCCCCACTGCCTGAATACTACCAAAGCACTGCTCTGCTCTTAGATGCTGAAGAGTGTGAGTTTCTCCTTTGCTACTTGCAAGGTTTAACATCCTTAACCTTCGAGCTCTCCTATAAATCAGCAGTTCTGAACGAGTGGACTATCACCCCTCTGTCCCTGTCGGGGCTGTGTCCTGTTTCGGAGCTGCTGGAGCCCCTCACATCCTCAGCATCCGAACCCCACAGAAAAGCATCGCTGGGTTCCATCTCCCACTCATCAGGCTCGGATGAGATCGAGATTCAACCCTCTGTCCTCTCCATCAGCAAAGGCAGCAGCAAAATCAAGCTCACATCATCCTCGTTGAGCCTCAACACCACCAGCTCATCCCAGCTCTCCTCCAGCCTGGGCTCCGACAGCATCCTCCCAGCCCACTGCGCCCGCAGCCCCGAGGGGGGCGAGGAGCCTCTGTCCTGTGACTCCGACCTGGGCACTGCCACTGCTGAGGACCTGGACCGGTCACTGCAGGAGTGAGTGTTCTCCCGCTTCTTCTCTTCAGAGGGATTCTTAACCCTCTCCTGGGCTCTTGTTGATTTCTCTCTATAGGCAGGAAGGGTTTCTCCCCTGGCTTTTTTTAACAACCCGTATTGGCCCATATGGAGCCAGGCTGAGGACATAGGGGCTGTTCAGAAGAGAAGCTGTGTGGAGACCTCAGAGCAGCTTCCAGTGTCTGAAGGGGGCTACAAGGATGCTGGAGAGGGGCTCTTCATCAGGGATTGTAGTGATAGGACATGGGTTGATGGGTTCAAACTGAAACAGGGGAAGTTCAGGTTAGATCTGAGGGAGAAGCTCTTCCCTGTAAGGGTGCTGAGGCACTGACACAGGGTGCCCAGAGAAGCTGTGGCTGCCCCATCCCTGGCAGTGTTCAAGGCCAGGTTGGACACGGGCTTGGAGCAAGCTGCTCCAGTGGAAGGTGTCCCCGCCCGTGGCAGGGGTTGGAACTGGAGGAGCTTTAAGGTCCCCTCCAACTCAGACCAGTCTAGGGTCTATGATTGTTTCTCCTGGGAAAAGCCTGAAAGGTAAAGAGAACGACTCAGCACCTGCTGCTGGAACCTGCTGCCCCGGCAGATGAGCTCCTGGCCACTGAAGTGTGTGTCTGTCCTCTTTACCAAGGCAGAAGCATCAGAGAAATGCTGCTGCCCGGTCTCAGGAATGTCCCATCTCCCTGGCGTACGCTGGGGGATGCTCTGGGGCTTTCTGCAGGGAGGAAGAAATGAGTTTGATCACAGGAAAGGGCTGTAATTTGCAGCTTCAGTGGATGATTTAGGGGAGGGAGATTGTTAGTTTGTCATCATCATGATCTATTTGTGCCAAGCATCCGGCACAAAGAATTCCAGGGGTTATATAAACCCCGAGTAATCAGGAAATATTTTCCCTGCCGCCTTTAAAACTTGGCTCTGAAGGAGCCTGGTGCTGGTTGGCAAAGGCACCCTCTTCCCAATAAGGGTCTTCAAGGGGGTTTTAAGTCTCTTCTTCCTCATCAATAACAGCATCATTACCTGCAGGATTTTATGTCTTATGATCATCCTGGAAGAACCTGCCTTGATTGGATTAAACTCGTGATGGAAAGACATCATTTAGCGCTGCTTTAATTCCCTCCGGCTGGTGGTGAAGCAGGGGCATGGGAACAGCATCTCATCTGGCCGGGCTCCACTTGGAATTGCTTGTTAACAGTTAGGGAAACTGGCACAATCCCATGGCTGGGTCTGTGTCCAGGAGCTGGGGGTGTGGGGAGCACCCAGCCCTCTCCCTCCATTAGGAGATGTCCATCAGCAGCAAATTAAACCCCAGGAATGTGTAGTCAGGAAATGCATCCTTGCAGGCAGGCTCCCTGTTCTGTGCAGCACAAATCACACATCTCCTGTCTGCGCTGTCATTGCCAGGGAGGTGTTTTTGCAGCCACATGGTGCTGCCAGAGCACAGGAGAAGAGCTGTGATGCTGAGCCCTTTGTTGGGGGTTATAGTTTGCAGTCGCTCTGTGTTGCGTAGTTCTGATTACTGTGGCTGTGTTCACGCTGATCTCTCTTCCATATTTCCAGGGTGCTGTCCGAGTTCAGCAAAGCCAAGCCTAGCCAGGAAGCCCCAGAGGAACGGCTGCTCCCCAGCATGCTGGGCTGCTCCCCACAGCCACCCGCCTGCCCCGTGGCCACATCACCCCCTGCTCTGGCAGTGCCCCATGGAGCTCCCCAGCAGCCACCCCCCAGTGCAGACAGCCCCGGCTCTGCTGGGACGAGTGATGCAGTGAGCACCGGTGGTGGGGATGGAGAAGGAGCGTGGGCAGGCACTGCTCCGGCCCCATGCTGTGCTGGGCCCAGCAGAGGAGAGCCTGGCAGGAGCAGCACGGAGAGCAGCAGTGAGGCGAACCAGGCCATGTGCAGCCCGACAGCCGAATACCTCCTGTCCCCACTGCTGGGTTGTCCGGTAGGTGTTACAGCTCCCTTGCTATCCATCTCCTTGGGTTTATGCTTCTGAGCAGTAGATGGAGTCACACAATCCCAGACTGGTTTGGGTTGGAAGAGACCTTAAAGCTCATCCAGTTCCATACAGGAGGTGCTCCATCTCCGTGATCATCCTCATGGCCTCTTCTGGACTTTCTCCAAGAGCTCCTTGTCCTTCTTATGTTGGGGACACCACAACTGCACACAGTGCTGCAGGTGGGGTCTCACGAGAGCATATATGTAATGGAAAGAGAGAGATAGTAGAAAAGGGAAGTAAAACTAGTGACAGGTTCTGAGGAAGCGCTGGTCTCTCCAGACTCTTCCCAGAGCAAGATGGCATTCCCTCGTGCTTAGGCTAGCAGGAGCAGCAGCAGATTTCCCTTGCTGCTGCCGAGGAGTTGACCCACTTGCTTCTGCTTTTAGGAAACTCTTTGAACAGCTCCGTCCTCTGTCTCATTTGTTACTGACTTTTCCATCGTGGTTTCCATCATTTCCATCCTGGCGAGGTTAGGATATACTTCAGACCTCCCCCTGCGCACAAAACAGTTTCTCTTTTTGGTCTCTGCTCCTTTCAGCTGCCTCCCAGTTATCCCATTTCCACTGCTTCCTTGTGGCACTGGGCCAGTTTGACCTAATCTATGTATAACATACAATGTCAACAGGAAATTCCCCCTGCTTCCGCATGACTCACAGGTCAACCTGCTCCTTTCTATGGAACACTGAGCTGGGTTGTGTTTTGCTGCTGGTGCTTGTTCAGGGACCTTGCCCCAGAACCATGGAATGGTTTGGGTCAGAAGGAACCTTCAAGGTCATCGAGTTCCAACCCTCGCTTTGTTCATCCCACCAGTATTTGCCAGCTGCCAGCACAGTCCCAGGGAGGGGTCACTGCGGGGGGATGTTGGAGGGGCACAGGATGTTCATTGAGTTTGATCATTAATTTGGGGGTTTGTTTTTAACTAGAAAAGGAAGAGCTGGATCTCGGAAGATGATTTCTACCGACCTTCCCTAGGAGAGAGCAGTGAAACCGCAGCCAACACCAACAGCTTTGGCCCGGAGGGGGCTGGGGAGGGTCCTGCCCCAGGACTCATCAGTGCTCTTGACTTGGAAAGGCTCTCAGTGCCATCCTGGGAGAGCGGGAAGCCCAAAGCGTCACCGGAACGGGAGCAAAAGGGCTTCAGCGTGGTGCACCGCAGGCAGATGGGTACGGGCTGCCCTCCCCTCGTGGGCTTACCTGGAGCCCCTGCAAGGGGCAGTGCTGAGGGGCTGGGGGGTGACAGGCTGCTTGAGAGGCAGCTGTTTGCTGCTGTGCTGATAGCAGCAGTAGGGTCATAGGACCATAGAATCAACCAGGTTGAAAAAGACCTTTAAGCTCATCAAGTCCAGCCCTTACCCCAGCACTGCCAAGGCTTTCCTTTATGCCATTCCATTTGTTCTAAGCTTCAGTACCCAAATGTACGTGGACAGATGATGGAGGCCAAGGTCCTGCAAACTCCTGTCCCATCCCATCACCCACCAGGACTGGCTCTCAAAGCTGTGATGCCTCTGGTTTCTCACTGCGAGCAGCCCATTGGCTTTTCCCTCTCCACTGGCTTCCCCTTTACTGGCTAACCCGAGACATCTGCTTTTGCCCCAGGGCTTTCCAACCCTTTCCGAGGGCTCCTGAAGCTGGGCACCCTGGAGCGGAGAGGAGCCATGGGGATATGGAAGGAGTTCTCCTGCGAGCTGTCGCCGCTGGAGCTTCGGCTCCTGCTGGACCACGAGGACCGCATCTGTGTCGAGAGCTACTCCCTGCTGCGGTGCGAGGCACTGGCGCTGACGCACTCAGACGGGCGGTTCGAGCTGGTGTTCCTAGGGAAGAAGCTCTACCTCCGAGCTCCTTCTTGCGACGAGGCCGAGGACTGGTTGGACAGGATCCGCGAGGCGCTGCACGAGTGCCGGCCTCAGCTGGAGGAGGAGCAGTGGGAGACACTGGAGTACCCAGAAGAGGCTGGTGAAAGCCAGCCCATCCAGAGCGACTCCACTGCTCTGCTCCAGTACAGTGACGTGCCTGGGAACAGCTTTGACTGGACTCCAGCTCATGAACCAGAGCTGGATGCAATAAAAGAGGCTGTTCTGTACGTGGACATGGACAAAACCTGGGTCCCTTTTATTTTTTCCCTGTCTCTAGAAACTTTAAAGTGCTTTAAAGTCAGGAACAATGACAAAATTTTAAGCAACAGTTATGGCATAGAGACCATCCAGGACATCCTGCCGGACACAAGTCTCGGGGGACCCGCCTTCTTCAAGGTGATCACCTCCAAAGCTGTCCTGAAGCTGCAGGCTGAGAACGCAGAAGAAGCTGCCTCATGGAGGGAGCTGGTCCGAGCGGTGCTCATGTCCTACCTGGAGAGTGCAGAGGAGGCTCTGACGCTGGGTGGCAGCTTGGACGGGCACTCCCAGGTCGTCCTGAAGAACATTGTGAAGGAAAACGGCTTCTTGTTGCAATACCTGGTGGCCATCCCCATGGAGAAGGGCCTGGACTCTCAGAGCTTCATCTGTGCAGGTATATGTTGGGTTGTCCAGAAACCCAGCTCCATCTTCATGGAATCATAGAATGGTTTGGCTTGGAAAGGACCTTAAAGCTCATCCAGTTCCATCCTTCTGCCTTAGGCAGGGACACCTTCCACTAGAGGAGGTTGCTCCAAGCCCCGTCCAGCCTGGCCTTGGCATGGGCAGCCCCATCTTCTCAGGGGTAATGTTGAGTTCATTCAGTTTAACAAGGTGACATCAAGTTAGGGTGTCCTGGGCCATGCCAGCCCCTTGCAGGCCAGCTGCTGGTTCCCCATCCAAATCCCGTCAGGCACCGGCACGCCATGTCTGCACTCAGTGGCACCTCTGGGGGTTTGGGTCCTCAGGGTGAGTCCCCCCAAGTTGCATCCCCATTCCACCCCAGCACAGGTCCAGTGGGGCTTTAAGGTGCTTATGGTATAGCCAGGGGAGGTCTTGGCTTGAAAGCAATTTTAGGTGGACCAGGAGGCCCAGGACTCTCCAACCTGCAGGGAAGGTGTACTCAAGAACAAATGCTGTTTTTCCAGTAAGGCAGCACAGGAGTGAGCATTGCAATGGGTGTGACAAGCTGGTTTGGCAAAACATTCCTTTAACCTCCCACTAACCCCTCCCAGCACCCGGGCGATGCTGGGTTCATGGGACACCACTCACTGACCTCTCTGGGACGTACCGTTTGCTCTTTCCCTTGGGAAGTTAATTAACTTCAGGTCTCTCTCCTGCATCAATTGTATTTCTTGCACCCTCCAGCGGGTGTTTGTTTCCTTTCAGTGTCTCTTCTTAGATATATATGTATTTTCCATTGTATTTAGTTTTACCTTGCCCTCCAGGCTCTGTCCTGCATCTTCTACCTGCCAACAGATGGAAGCAGCAAGCTGGAAAGACTTCCCAGCTTTTATGTGTAGGTTTTCTTGGAGGTCTCTGCCTGCCTGGCTTTCCCCTCCCAGCCTGGGGCAGGTTTCCTTCCATGGCAGGGCTTAAGAAGCATTAAAAGCCTTCAAAGATCAAGCCCATGATTGTGATTTTGGGGAGGAAGCACTCCAGCCACCCCAGTGTGCAAACGATGGGGTGGCAAAGCCGAGCTGGATTCCTCCTGGCTTACCCACTGCAATAATAAAGGTGGTTGGTTGTTGTTTAATCCATCCTGACCTCATCCCTGGCAGATGAGGATCCCTAGCAGACCTGGGTTTGGTACCCGGTGGTGTGACAGCAGGAAAGAAAAAGGCTGACTGAAGGCAAAACAGGGCAAAGCTACTGGTGAAGGGGATGGGGCAGGCAGGTGGGGCATCAGTTCTTCCCTAAAGCACTGGGATATTTCCTTTTCCTTAAAGGAAAAGCACTGGGATATTCTCTTTTCCTTAAAAAAACACCCCATCAAACAATTGAACCACTCAAAGGGTAAAAGTGGATTTAGGGATAGTCCAGACTCCTATTTAATGAAGAAAAAGTGAAGTGGGTCTCGTTGCATCACTGTGGTCTTAAATCCACAGGGAGGGGCCTGGGGACTTCTCACTGAAGTGCTTTAGCAGATCTCCAGCCCTTCCAAAAGCTTTCTTGTTCCATTCCACCCTCCCAAAAGCTTTTCCCCCCAGCCTGGCAGTGATGGGAACAGGCTCCCAGAGCAGCACGGGTCCCCTCTCATTCTCTGCTCCCTGCAGGCTGCTCCAGGCAGATCGGCTTCTCCTTCACCAAGCCCAAGCTCTGCGCCTTCTCTGGTCTCTACTATTGTGACAGTTGCCACCGGGACGAGGAGACAGTGATTCCCTCACGCCTCATCCACAATTGGGACCTGGCAAAGCGAGGGGTGAGTCTGGGCTCAGCCAGTGCACGGAGCAGGGAAGTGCTCCTGCATCTGCCTCTGCTTCCTGAAGGTCCGTCTGAATGTTCCCACCAGCAGCAGAGGTGGAGATGTCCACCTTAGACCTTCCTCTGAGCCTCCTGGGCTGCTCCTGGGTGCATGCACACCTCTTGCCTCTCTCTGCCCCAGGTTTGCCAGCAGGCCTTCAAGTTCCTCAGCCAGATCCGTAACCAGCCGCTGATCGACCTGGAGTTGGTCAACGAGAGCCTCTACGACCACGTGGAGAGGATGGGACGGATCCTCCGAAGCAGGGAGCGGCTGAAGCTGCTGGGGGATTATCTCATCATGTGCCGCAGCGGGGCCCTGAAGGAGCTGAGCAAGCGGTGAGGTCCCTCTCTGGGTGATGTTCCTCCTGTATCCCCCTCTTTGCACCCCAGTGGTCCCCCTCATCCCTCACTTTTGGAGCAGGGAGCCAAGGCATGGGCTGGATTTTAGCACCAATGTCGTCTGCTCTAAGGAGTTCTCCATCTGTTGACACATTGAGATGTGACTCAGGAAACACCTTCCTGAGTGAGCTGCTTCTGGTTGGACAGGAAACACCTGGGAAAACAGATGAGATACTGATTTTCTTTTCTTTTTCCCCCCTTTGAAATGCTCTCACACAATTCCCAGCAGCAGGATTTGGGATGTGAGGCACGATGTGAACATCTGTGGTGATGTTCTTCAAGAGTCTGCATCATCCAGGCTTCTCCTTGTTCCAAAGCTTATTGGAGATGTGGTGGAAACCATCTACCTCCTTGCTCTCTTCTTTTGCAGGCTTGATCACAGGCACTACCTCTTGGAGTATCCCCACAAATACAGCGTTGCTGACCTGAGGCAGGTGAGAGCTCTGTGTGGTCACAGGGGTTTTGCTGGTGCAAACATCCCAGGTTTTATTCATGGAGATGCTGCACTGAGCATGGTGCTTCTTCAGCTCCGAGAGCTACAGAGATGACACAGGATGAATTGTTTCACTTCTGTTTAAGCCAACATTGCTGTTAGCACCCTTCCAAACAAACCTGTGTCTGCTGCAAATGATGCTGGAGGTGATGGGGAGTTGGGTTTTGCACTGATTCCCAGCTGTGGGTGCTGCACTCAGCTCTCTCTGGGTGGCTCCCATTGCAACCCAGGCACATGGGGTATGGGTTGTTTCTGGAGCTTGTCTTCACGTGGCAGCACAAAGGATGGATGTGACATGGGGTTTGTGTGGTGCAAACCCACCAGGAGATACTGCATGAGTGCCTGAGGTGTCTCTGCTCCGCAGATAGCTGATGGTGTCTTTGAGACCTTCCTGCAGTCTCTGCTCCAGTTCACTTCTCACCACGTCTACAACTGCGACCTGTGCACCCAGCGTGGCTTCATCTGCCAGCTCTGCAACAGCAGCGACATCATCTTCCCCTTTGAGTTTGACACTACCACCAGGTCAGTGACATCCCTATCACCCCCCCCCCCCCCCCCCCCCCCCCCGCTGCAAGGCCACCCCCGAGTTTGTGCCTTGCCTGTTCTCAGGAGCCTGGACCATCGCTGGAGCCCTTTCAGGGACACAGAGTCTCGGGGTAGCCTAGAAATAGCTCTGAGCTGGTTGTGCATCATTGTGGTACCCATGCCCTTGTGGTACCCATCAGCCCCAGGATGATCTGAACCCAAACAGGGCTGTTTGGGGCAGGAAAAGACCATCCTTACAGAGCCAGCATGTCACCAAGTGAGGTGGTTTTGTAGACTGAACATGGCAGAGCCAGCCAGCACCTTGCTCTCAGCCTGTAAAAGCAGGCTTGAAGGAACCTTAAAGCTCATCCAGCTCCAACCCCTGCCACGGGCAGGGACCCCTTCCACTAGAGCAGCTTGCTCCAAGCCCTTGTGTCCAACCTGGCCTTGAGCACTGACAGGGATGGGGCAGCCACAGCTTCTCTGGGCACCCTGTGCCAGCGCCTCAGCACCTTCACAGGAAAGAGCTTCTGCCTAAGAGCTCATCTCAGTCTCCCCTCTGACAGGTTAAACCCCCTCTGCCTGCAGTGGGGTTCAGCTGCTGGGCAGACGTTAGGATCAGACTTGGGGGGGTTATCCCACTGTCAGGGTTTTCCCAAAGAAATAATACCAAACCCTTCCAGCCCAGGAGCCTGATCCATTGTAAGTGGAGAGAGATCCACACTCAGTGGTTATTTGGGAATGAGTATAATCCTGACAGAGAAGTTTCACAGGCTGATGCTTTCTGTGTGGTCTTGCTTTGCCTGGCAGTAACATTCAGAACCTGGAGAAGATACCAACAAGACCAGGATCTGCGGGCACCCCATGCATTAACGTGGTTGCAAATATTCCCAGGGTGTCTGAGCAGGATCGAATCGTGCTTGTTACCAAGGACAGCATCCCCATGGGAACGGTTTTCCCTTAAGGAAAGGAGCACAGGGGCTCTGGCAGGCGCAGCTCTGCCGGCAGCTGGCCCCTGTCCTGCTGGGCTCTGCACCTTGTTGATCTCTGCTTCTGGAGGAGGAGGCTGTGCAGCAGGAAAGCAGCTCCACCAACATCCTCACCGAGCTCAACCCCGCTTCCTGCCCCTCTGCCCGCCTGGGGCACAGCCGGCAGCGGGGTCATGCTGTCACCCACTGCAGGATGCGCCTCAAACGCCTCCTGACAATAAACCCTCTGCTCCCAGCAGCAGCCGCTGCTTCCTGCAGCCCCTGTGCAGGCAGGAGGAGGCAGGAGATGCTGCTCGCTCAGGAGCACTCAGGGTGAATCCCCCCCTTGGCTTTGCATGTCCCCTCAACACTGCTGCTAATCCAGGAGCCATGGGAAAAGAGATTCCATTGGGAAAACGCGTGGTGCCAGGCAGCACCCTCATAGGATCACAGGCAGGTTTGGGTTTGAAGGGACCTTAAAGCTGATCCACCCCCCTGCCACCGGGGCACACTCCCCTCTCCACTCATCCTGTGGGAAAGCAAGGTGCCCAGAAGCGTTCTGGTTGCACCTTGGGCAACACGGTCACAGAAGGTGTCCCTGCTCCACGTGTTGGGGTCTCCTGGCTGCCCTCCAGCCCCAGTGAGCACAGGAGCCCCACGGCGACGTGTCCCAGCCCTGCTCTTTCCGGGGTTTGGGGTCTCAGCCGTGCACTGTCCGTGCTCCGAAAGCAAAGCCCAAACCTCGCTCAGCATCTCCCGCTTTGATGTGCAGCACCCGCAGCGCTGGCGGCTCCCCTCGGTGCTGCTTCTGGGCAGAGCTTTTGCTCTTGGCTTGCAGGAGGAGGATCTTCAGCTCGAGGAGTTGCTGCTCCTGCCAGCAAAGTTCATCGTGAGCTGGAGCCGGCCCCTGCCCGCGTTCTGCTCAAGGAGTGTTTGGTGAAAACAGGAGGGGAAGTGAGAAGTTGCTGAGCAGGATCTGAGCTGCACCCCCAGAGGATGAGCAGTGGTTGAGGGAGGGATTCTCCCCCCTGCTCCTCTCTGGGGAGACCCCCCTGAGACCTGAGAGCAGCTCCAGTGCCTGAAGGGGCTCCAGGAAAGCTGGAGAGGGGCTTTGGACAAGGGATGGTGGGACAGGACAGGGGGAATGGCTCTAACCTGCCCGAGGGGAGACTGAGATGAGCTCTTAGGCAGAAGCTCTTCCCTGTGAGGGTGCTGAGGCGCTGGCACAGGGTGCCCAGAGAAGCTGTGGCTGCCCCATCCCTGGCAGTGTTCAAGGCCAGGTTGGACACAGGGGCTTGGAGCAAGCTGCTCTATGGAAGGGGTCCCTGCCTGTGGCAGAGAGTTGGAATTGGAGGAGCTGTAAGGTCCCTTCAACCCAACCCATTCCATGGTTCTGTAAGGCTATGCAGTGTCCCAGGTCTGGTTTGATGGGGACAGTTTGGGTCTCTCCTCTGCAGTTATCAACAGTAGAGGTTTTTCTCCCTGGTTTCTCCCAGGTGCAGTGAATGCAAGACCGTCTTCCACCGGGAATGCCAGGCCAGCGCCAGGTCGTGCCCGCGCTGCGAGCGCCGGCGGAGGTACCAGCGGGAGCTGGAGGCAGAGGCCAGCGTGGAGCCAAGCCTTTAGCATCCAGGGACTGGCCTCAATCTCATCCAGCCCCTGGGTCTCATCCAGCTGGAAAGGGGCTGCAGGGAAGAGACCTGGGAGCAGGTCCTGCGCCAGGGGATGGGGAACCATGTGGTATGGTTGCTCCTGCCCCCACAGCACTGAGCAGTGAGGCTGGAAAGGTCCATGTGCCCCCTCACATGAACCTGGTGCTGCTCAGGAGGGCTCCGAGTCGCCCTTCAGTGGAGACCCAGTGGCTTCCCAGAGGATTCCAGCAGGGGTGGATAACGGACAGTGACAAAATCTCTAGTTTTTTAGGGTGTTCTGTACTGGAGAATCCATATTTTTGTAGGGGGGGGGCTGCAGGAGCCGGCCCGGGCCGGGGGATGACGGCAGCCGCAGGGGAGGGGGTGAAGTGACACTTGTGCCTTCAGGGACCTGCACCATCTCCCCATCCCCATGGCCTCGGGTGGGGGGGATGAGCCGGGGGCTGCAGCTCCTCAGCCCTGGGGGAGGTTTTAGTTTCCTCTCATCCCTCCCCAGAAAGAATTAAAGTTTATTTAAGGAGGGGTGAAGCATCTCTGGAGTTTGTGTCCCACAGCGGGGCCAAAGCAGCACCAACCTGGAGTTGTGGGGATGGGGATGGAGGCCCTGCACGTCCTCATGCTCCTGGCATGGCCCCGTTTCCCCTTCCCCATTTCCCTGCCCCGTTTTCCCATCTTCTCTGCACCGTTCTTGGCATCTCTAGTTCTTACCACCACCACCCAGCTCCCAGGAGGGTTCGGGGCTCACCCACAAGCACTTGGGGACCTGGGGGCAAAGCCCAGGCCAGGGCAGTACCCCCGGGACCCCCATAACGTGGGTCCCATCCTCCTGCCCAACGAGGCTGCACCGGATCCGACGGCGGCGGCGAGATCCCAGCTGAGCCGCGGGGCAGGGCCCTTCCTGCGGCAGGAACCTCCTGAGGAGCCGTTTCCTCCAGCACCGTCCTTCCCTCCCACCCTGTGGGGAGGACCCGGCCGGGACCCCTCTGCTCATGGGGCCAGGCACCCAGCACCAGCCCCAAGCCCAGCCCCATCCATCGACACGGCAGGAAACCGGGGCGAGTTGGGACCAGCCCAGCGCAGGCACGAGCAGGACCCACGAGCACGAGCGGGACCTGCTGCCGCACACCCCAGCACCGCTGGAGGTGGGGTTTGGGGGCTTGGTGGCCTTGGGGCTGTGGGACCTGGGGCTCAGTGGCTTTGGGGGCTGGAGGATGGGGGTGAGGGCACGGCAGCGACCCCTAGGGCGGTTTGGGGCAGGTTTGGGTGGTTTGTGGAATGGCTGCGAGGGGCTGAGGCTGAGCAGGGAGGCCCCAGCGTGGTTCCCACATGCCCCAAAGGGGTTGGGAGCTGCCCTCACCCCTTCCCTGCCCCATATCCCACAGGCAGAGGTGCCGGAGCAGCCATGGAGGCGGCGGTGCCCGCGGAGGAGGTGCTGGTGCTGGTGGAATACGGCTTTGAGTACCGAGCCAAGGACGGGACCTTGGTCTCCATCAAGCCAAACGAGCGCTACGTCCTGCTGAAGAGAACCAACCACCACTGGTGGCATGTCAAGAGGAGCGGGGATGCGCGGCCCTTCTACATCCCTGCCCAGTACGTGAAGGAGCTGCCCCCCATCGCCACCCCAGCCCCGCCTGACCCATCCCCGCAGGGATACAGCGGGATGGATCCGACCACACTCATCCCGCAGCAAGCACCAGCCTTCGAGTATCGGTTCATCGGTGCCACCGAAACGGAAGAGCCGGAGAGGGGCTGCTCCGTGCCCAGGAGGGACTCGGTGCCCAGGAGGGATTCACCACCGGTTCTCAGCTCTTTTCGGGCCCCCCCAAGTCTCAGACCCTACCCCCTGGATCCCGTTCGCTCCTCGCACTCCCTGGATGACCTGGCCTGGGTGACCCCAGCTCCACGCAGTGCCCCCACCATGGGCTCGCACAGGGACCCCCCAGGACACACTCGTCCACTCAGCAAGAGCCGCTCCGAGACCTTCTGTGCCCCTGGCAGAGACCTGGATGTGGCCGGGAGGAGGCCGGGCCCTGGCCACGCGGCTCAGGTACGGTCCTGTCCCCTTGTGCTGTCCCCTAAAGCGGCGCTGGGAGGGGTTGGGGGGGGGGGGGGGGTGCTGGGTCCTTGCCTGCCCCAGTGTCCCCAGCACAGACCTGTGAGCCCAGCACTGGGTGGGCACCCAGGGGCTGCCCAGCACCACTGCCACCACCGGGACCCCCATGCTCCCCATTGAGCTGACCCCAAGAGCCAACCCCCCAGAGCTGCCAGCTTTTACCATGGGAGTGGATTGACCCCCACATCAGGCACCCATCCCAAGCACCTCCTGTGCCTCACCCCCACGGGCGCCCTGGGCTCTCCATGCCCCTGGTCCCGGGGGGCTCTTTCAGGTGTGTGCCCCCCCATCCTGGCAGCATTCGCAGTGAGAGGAGGCAGAAAGGGGTTAACCAGGAAGCGCTGCAGCTCCTCCCCAGGGCCTGTGTCTCACCCATGGGTGCAGCACCCATGGCTGGAGGTGGGTGCTGGTTGCACCCCAGATAAGGGGCCCATGTCATCCCAAAACCAACACTCCCCATGCCAGTAAGTAGCGAGGGGTCCTTCTCAGCATCCCCCTGCACCCTTCTGGGGAGGGCACCCAAAGGTGGGGGGAATCCCCCCCACCGCAGACATGGGGTCAGATGGTGACAGTGAGGGGGCCCCATGGCCTTGTGTCCCTCCCGTTCCCCTCTCCTGGGGGCACCCGCAGCCCCCCAAGCCCCCGCATCCCCCACTCTGGGGGTTGCACTGCCCACAGGGTTGTGTCACTGGGGGAAGGAGCTGTTGGTGAGCGGGGGTCATGTTTGACCCCCATTTCTCACCCTGCAGCCCCAGTTGTGCTGGCTTAACCCCCGGGGCACAACCAAAGCCACTGAACCGCCATCCAGGAGGTCCCCACTGTGGTCCCCAACCCCAGTGCCACCACCAAATTCCACCCAGCACCAAAACCAACTGGTGCTGGGGCAGTGGTGTTGCCTTGGCCTGGGCACCTTGTCCATGTGCCACCATGTCCATGTGCCACCATATCCATGTGCCACCATGTCCATGTGCCACCGTGTCCATGTGCCACCATGTCCATGTGCCACCACGGCTGCTGGGACACCCTGATCCCGGTGCTGGGGGACGCAGCACCGCTGGTTCCAGTGCCACAGCATGATGCCAGAGGGGCCAAACATGGCAGGATTTAGCACCGGCTGCATCCCCAGCACAGCATCATCCCAGTACGATCCTGGCTCGGTTGGGTTTGGCTTCGCTGGGGGTGACGCCAGGGTGACAGCACCCCCAAAGCCAGCTGGTTCTGCCCCAAGGTCCCACTCGGAGGTGCCTCTTCCGCCCCTGAACCCGAGCAGGAAGCGCAGTGGGTGCCGGGCCCGGCACAGGCACCATCAGTGCAAGCAGAGCCCCTGATGCCCCCCCCGGTGCCCCCTGCAATGGGTGATCAGGGGCCAGGGCCCCGGCAGCAGGCACAGAGCAGGGTGCGGATGGGGCAGGTAGGCAACACCCATGGGTGTGCTGGGGTGGGGGTGTTGGGTGACACCCCCCCCCCGGGATGCACACATGGGAGAGGGAAGCGCTGGGGGAGGGGGTCAGTGCTGGGTCCCCCATTGTCACCCCCATGTGCCCAAGAGGACAGGGGCCTCTTGTGCTGAGTTTCCAGCTCCACTCGCTGTGGCAGGGGGTCGGGGGGGTGATGGGGTGTCCCTGGGGATACTCGATCCATTGTCCCACTGTGCTCCAGGGTGTCCCAGGGAGGGACATTCCATCGCTGTGTGTGTCCCCCCCCATCAGGAAGGCCCACCGTTGGGGAACTTTGTCCCCAGCCGTTGCAGGGAGGCTCCAGGGCTGTAAAGCTGCAGAGAGCAAAGGGTGCCAGGAGGGGACCCCCCCGGGCCATGGGGACATGTCCTACCCCTTGAGCAGCCCCATAGTGGGGCACCCCAGGGTGCTCAGGGCCCTGTTTTGGGGTGCTGTGATGGGGCTGTTGGTCTGAGCACCCAGCTCTGCTCCGGGCAGGTCGAGCTGATGGGGCCATGGGTGCTGGTGGGGTGGTGCTGGAGATGGGCAGGGTGCTGGAGCTGAGGGCGCTGATGGCAGCGAAGGGGGCAGAGGCTGGGGTGCTGCTGTACTGGAAGGAGTCCCTGCGCGTGGCAGGGGCCGGAGCTGGAGGAGCTGTAAGGTCCCTTCCGGCCCAAACCAGTCTCACACCTGTAGGAAGGACGGAAGCCCCGGCAGCCACAGCAGGGCAGGATCCAGCTCCCTGACCCCCTCGCGCTGTCCCCAGCATCCCTGCCCCATGGCTCACACCCACGTCCCCCCCAGGCACAGCCGGAGCCAGAGGAACCGCCTGCTCCCATCTACCTCAACCTCCAGGAGCTGCGGGAAGCAGCCACCACCGGCTCAGCCCCAGAGGAGCCCAACAGCTCCAGTTCGCATTGGGAAACCCACAGGGACACGGAGACTGGACGCTTGTTTTACTATAACCCCGTGACGGGCGAGGCCACGTGGGTTTGTCCCTTTGGGCAGGCAGGAGAAGGAGTGAGTCCTGCAGCCTCTCCCGCCCGCTCGCCAGCGCACAGCCCGCAGTGTTCCGAGTGGGAGCAGCTCGTGGATGAAGGCAGCGGACAGGCTTTTTTCTATAATTGGGTGACAGGTGAGACGTCGTGGGACCCCCCGACACCGGAGGAGCACAGGACAAGCACCACGGGGGGACGCGGTACGGAGCTATGGAGCAGAGGGTGAGCACCTGGCAGCACAGGGTGAGGGGATGGGGATGGAGGTGGAGATACAGAGATGGAGACGGGGATGGAGATGATGAAGTTGGGGCAGCCCCAACCTGGGCTGGTCATGGCTTGGGGATGCAGATGCTCTTGGCAGGACACAAGATCTTCACCTGGCTCTTCTCTCCAGCCACCCACTCCAGAAACAGATTATCCCAACCTGTCTCCAGACGAGCTGGAGCGTTATCCCAAGTACTGCTCGCCAGTGGGCTCCTATGATCAGGAGGCAGCTCTCTGCGTGTCCCCAAGGAGCCCTGAGGAGCTGGGCTCAGCCCCAAGCTGGTTTGGGCGCAGCCACCCCGAGGGGAGCATACTCTGCCCCGAGCACCTCGCCTCCGACACGGTACGGGATGGGGACAGGGATGGATGGGAATGGGGATGGGATGGGGATGGGTATATGGGCAGGGATGGGAATAGGAATGGGGATGAGGATGGCAATGGGGACAGGGCTGGGGGCAGGGGTGTCTGCAGGGTTGAGCACCCTCAGTGGTGCAGGGGGTGCAGGGCCCAGCACCCATCTCACATGAGCATCACCCTCCCCTTCCAGGGGCCATGGGGCCGCCCAGCCCAGGCCAGCAGCAGCTCCAGCCTGGACAGTGGGGTTCTCACCACGCCACCAGCACTGGGGCCCAGGGAGGAGAAGGTGGGTGAGCACCAGGGCAGGGAGCCCGGCCCTTCCCCACCCTGCACCCCGCAGGGCAGGGTCAAACCTAACCCCCCTCCCTGCACCCCCTTTGCCTTCCAGTTGAAGAGCCTCGAAAAAGCTGGGGTGCTCAACAGGACTAGGACGGTGGACAAGGGGAAGCGGATCCGGTAAGAGCATCCCGGCTCCCACGGTGCCAGCGGGGATGAGGGAGCCCTGGGGAGCAGAGGGGCCATGGGCTCTGCTGTCCCCTTATGTGACCCCCTCCCGCTCCCCAGGAAGAACTGGAGCTCCTCCTGGACTGTGCTGGAGGGCGGGATCCTCACCTTCTTCAAGGACTCCAAGCACTCTGCTGCTGGTGCCTTGGTAAGAGCCCAGTGGCCTTGGTGGTGCCAGCACCCATTGGAGGGAGCTAGCACCCATGCGAGGGGGCCAGCACCCACAGGATGGAGCCAGAACCACTTGTGTCTTCTCACACACACGCATCCCCCCATGCGGGAGCTGGAGCTGGTGCTGGGGCACCCCAAGGAGCCCCACAGGGAGCAGGAGGAAGTGGGCCCCAGCCTCCCCCTCCCAGAGCCAGCAGCTGGTGCCACCGGATGCAAAAGCCACCGTGGGTCTTGCGACACCCCCGGTGGCGGCAGCAGGGGAGGGACCCACTGCCGGGGTGTGGGTGCTGGGCCCTGTCTGGGGCGGAAACAGGGGCTGGAGAGAGCCTGGATGGAGGTGGCTGAAGCACCGCGAGCCCAGGGCATGGGGAGAGCCAAGGCTCCCCCATGAACACCCCATGGGACTGTCCCCTCCCTGGGGACACCCACCCGCATTCCTGTCACTGTAACGCTGCCACTGCTGCCACCCTAAAGCTGGAGACCCCTGGGGTCCCCGGGCAGTGCTGGGGATGTGCCATGAGGTGACAGCGGCTCTAGGACCTGGCTGCCCCCAGGCTGCTGGCCATGACCCCCACCAGCAGCGATGTGCCCTGGTCCTGCAGAGACCCCAGTGCTGTGGGAGGGCATGGTTGCCACACCAGCCTCTCTGGATGGGGGGAAGCCCCCAGGACCCCGGGGTCCCCGTCCCCTGTGGGCAGGTGCCGCTGGTACCACCCCCATCCCATTGCTCCAGCAGCGGCACCCCAGCACCCTGACCACCCCCGAGCACACCCTGGAGCTGCGCGGGGCCACCCTTGCCTGGGCCAGCAGGGACAAGTCCAGCAAGAAGCACGTCCTGGAGGTGAGGTGGAGACCCTGGGACCATCGGTCACACGTCAGGGGCTGCACATGGGGCAGGGGGGATGCCAGCACCTGCCCGGCTCATCCCAGCAGTGGTGTGGGTGTGCTGGGGTCGGTGGCCTTGGGACACTGGGACACGTCCCCAGGCAGGCCCTGTGCTGTCAGCCGCTGTCCCCTCCCTGGGGGCATGGAGGTGTTGCAGAATCCCAGCCTGGTGTGGGTCAGCAGGGACCTGAATGCTCATTCAGCTCCAGCCCCCTGGCAGCAACCCCAGAACCAGCCTAGCTCAGCCTGAAGAGTACCAGGGCATGTTCTTGCTCCCAGAGGGGTTTTTCCACTCGGGCCTTGCACAGGGAGGAGGTTTCCCCCTCATCAGCAAACAGCATTAATTGTGCTCATCGGTGCAATGAGCTGGGTGCTGTGCTCAGCCACAACCCGCCCTGACCTCTGCCCACTGCTCCCGCAGCTGAGGACACGGGAGGGCTCAGAGTTCCTCATCCAGCACGACTCGGATGGGATCATCACTGCATGGCACAAGGCAATCGCTGAAAGCATCGGGAGGCTGGTGAGCAGGGCCCCCCGCCCCGACACCACGGGGATGGGCATGGGGGGGCTCATGCTGCCCCTTCTGCAGGGCACCAACCTCTCTGGAGATGAGGATGCCGAGAGCGGGGCTGAGTTCGGCTCCCGGGAGAAGCCGGGAGGTGGTGAGGAGAAGAGGGCAGGTGAGCTCGGGCACAGCGGCACAGGGACCATCGCCATCCCATCCCTGTCCCCATCTGTGCCTCCATCCTCATCCCTATCCCACCGCATCCAATCTGTGTCCCCATCCCTGCACGACAGCACCGGCAAACGCCCACTGGGCAGAGTGGGGTGTCCCCAGCTCCCTGGGGTGGTGGGACATGCCAGCAGCACCCCGATCCTTTGGGATGATGCTGATGTGCACCCTGTCCCCATCAGTGATGGGCAATGCCAGCGGCGAGAGCGACTCCAGCAGAGTCCGGAACAAGCTCCGCAAGTTCCTGCAGAGGCGGCCGACGCTGCAGTCCCTGCGTGAGAGGGGCTACATCAAAGGTGGGTGCTCGGGTGGGGCTATGTCAAGGGTGGGTGTTTGGGATGGGGCTGAACCCCCTTAGGGTGATCCCCAGGCTGGAAGGGGAGCGGAGATGACCAAGGCTGAAGTTGGGGACCAAGCCTGACCCAACATCTTGGTGATGGGCTTGGGCATGTCCCATCACCTCCAGCCACCGCGGTGTCATAGCTCTATGGGAACAGGACCCTCTGCAGTGTCCCCAGCCCTGTCCGTCCCCTCCCCTGCCCCCCAGCTCCCCCCACGGACACTGTTGGTGTCACCTCTTGTGCTCAAGTCCCTGTTGGCTTCTCCAGACCAGGTCTTCGGCTGCTCCCTGCAGGCACTGTGTGAGCGGGAGCGGGGCACGGTGCCACGCTTCGTCCTGCAGTGCATCCAGACCGTGGAGAGGAGAGGTACCACAGCGGGGACAGGACAGCCTGGGGGCACCAGCGTGGGGATAGCCCTGAGTGAAGCCTTCATTTGATGGCGGGGTTTTCCCTGGGGCCCCGGGGGTGTGGGGACATTGTGGGTACCCAGAGCAGCCTCGATGGCGGCTGGTGACACATCCCATGGGTTGTGGTGTACCAGGAGCTTTCCTCCATCTCCACCATTGTCTTCTGCCAGGTCTGGACATCGATGGGCTGTACCGGGTCAGCGGCAACCTGGCCACCATCCAGAAACTGCGCTACAAAGTGGAGCATGGTGAGGGCACCCGCAGTGCCACCAGGGGACTAAGGGGATAGAACCCGTGGAGAGGGATGGGATGGGGACCCCTGCGGGGCCCTGGGACCCACCTGAGGTGCTGTCCTGTCCTGCAGATGAGCAGCTGGACCTGGATGACGGGCGCTGGGAGGACGTCCATGTGGTCACCGGCGCGCTGAAGCTCTTCCTCCGCGAGCTGCCCGAGCCGCTCGTCCCCTTCAGCCACTTTGAGCAGTTCATCGCTGCCATCAGTGAGGCGCAGGACAGGGCTGGGATGGGGATGGGAATAGGGTTTGGGGTGGGGATGGGGACAGGGACGGGAACAGGGATGGGGCAATGACAAGGACAGTGACAGAGATGAGGACAGGAATGGGGACAAGGTTGGATTCTCTGGCTGCTGGAGCCAGTACCCACCTGTGTCCCCTCCCCTGGCAGAGATGCAGGACCCAGTGCGGCGGGGCTGGTGCATCCGTGAGCTGGTGTCCTCCCTCCCACCCGCCCACCACGACACCATGAAGGTCCTGTTCCACCACCTCTGCAGGTGACACCTCCTCACTCCCCCAGACCCAACCCAGTGCAGGGAGAGGGACAGGACACGGGTTTGGGAACAGGCCAGGTGACACCATCCTTTGTCTCCGCAGGGTTATCGAGTACAAGGAGGAGAACCGCATGTCAGTGCAGAGCATCGCCATCGTCTTCGGCCCCACACTGCTGCGCCCAGCCAGTGAGGAGGGCAACATGGCCATGCACATGGTCTTCCAGAACCAGGTGGTGGAGCACATCCTCAACCAGTACAGCTACATCTTCCCCGACGGCTAGAACGCCCTGGGGATGCGCATGGGGGCAAGCCCCACAGTGGGGACATGAAGGAGCAGCATCTCAGGGGAAGGACTTGACCTTGTGTCACCTTGGATGTGGCAATCGTGGGCTCCGTGAAGGGCCGTGTGGGAGACGGGCTTGCTCAGGATGCAGCTTGAGGGATGGCTGCTGGAGCTGGGGGCACCCCGAGCACCCCATCCTCCTCTGCTACCTGCTCCCGCTGGGGCTGGACCCACAGAGGCTGAGCCCTGGGAGATGTGTGGAGTTTGGGGGGTCCCCTTTGGTCAATGGGGAAACGGAGTCATGTGGCACCAGTGACAGAGACCCAGCATCCCCGGCTGGGCAGTGCCAGTGAAGATGGTGCCATGGCTGGAGCCAGCGTCCGGCACGATCCCAATGCCATATTCCCAAATAAAGAGCCAGTTCAGAGGACAAGGCATTGTTGGAGGGGCATGGGGACATCCCTGGGGATGATGGGGGCACCGTGGGGGCTCAGGGATGAGACCATGGTGGTGTCCTCACCACCCATGAAGACAAGGCGACCACAACATCCCCAGAGGAGCGAGACCGCAGGCCATGGTGGTGCTTTGGGGCACCTTTCCTGGCTGGCACTGCCAAACCCTGTGCCATGGCCAGTGTCCCCACAGAGAGCAGGAATGGGTGACAAGAGCAATGTGACCACCAGGACGTGAGCTTCCATCACCCAGGGTCAGCTCTCAGGTGAAGACACTTTGGGTCATGATGGGAACAATTTGGGATACAAGCAGGATGGGCTGGGATGCAAGAGGGACAGTGACGGACACAACTGAAATGCATTGAGACCCTGGGGAAACTAAAGGGCACGGCAGAGAAGGAGGAGGAAGATTTCGGACACTTTGGGATGCAGCGGAGTTTGGAGATGCTCTGGGGCACGAGGGGATGCTCCGGGGGGCGCAGTGCCGGTTCTTCGGGGCAAGACGGGGACACTTCGGGGCACGAAGCGGAGGCTCCAACCCCCGTGGGCCCCTCCGGGGCGGGGCGGGGGGGGCGGGCCGGGGTCCCGTCGGGGCGGTGCCGCTCCGGGGGCAGGGCCGGGACAGGGCCCCGCTCCTCGCCCCCCGACCGGCTCCATCTTGAGCGCGGCTGCCGCGGAGCTGCTCCAGGTACAGCGGGGCCGGAGAGAGACGGGGAGGTCCGGGGAGACGGGGGGGGCGCGAACCCCGATCGGACCCCCCCCAGCGACCTCCGGGGCCGTACGGGACCCCCGGGGCCGATGTCCCCCCCTTAGATCCGTGCGGGACTCTCGGACACCAACCCCCCTGCAGCGGCCCCCCGCCGGGCCATGCGGGACCCCCATCAGCCCCGTGCCCCCCCCCCCCCCCCCCGCAGCAGGGGTGCTCAGGACCAGGCACTGCCTCGAGCCACCAGCAGCTACCCCCCCACCCCTCTGGACACCCCCAATAGCAAACATTGCTCCCCGAGCCTCATAGGACACCCCCAGACCTTCGCAGGCCTCCCCCCCCGGGGCTGTATCCCCCCTGCTCCGGACCAGGCACCAAGGTGTTACAGCGCAGAACCTGCTTTAGTGGCCAAAATCCCTCTTAAGGCATTAATCGCAGTGGGAAGGCGGGGGGGGGTGTGTACAAGGCCACAGTGTGTGTGTGTGTGTGTGTGTGTGTGTGTGTGTGTGTGTGTGTGTGCCCCCCCCCACGGCTGGGGACAGCGCCGGGCTAGGGACAACTGCACCCGGGCTGGGAATTTCATCCAAATCACCAAACCTGGCTGAACTTTGGATGGGATGGAGGGAGAGGAAGAGGTGGGAGCGGGGCTGGAGGGTCTGGGGGGGGCACGTGGGACACACCCCCCGTGGGGGGGCCCAGGCATTAGTCACAGTGTAAAGGTCGGTGTTTGCTGTGCCCGGTGCGGAAGTGGCACCGTCCCTGTGTCTGCGGTGGCTCCCGGCTGGCAGCAGGTAGGGAGGGCGATGGGGGGGTCCTGTGTCCCCCACCACAGGGTGGACACCCAGCGGGGACCCACTGCTTGTCCCGTGCGGTGATGGGGGTCCCAGCGGCTCTGTCCCAGGCTGGTGTCCCCTGGGCCTGGGATGGCCAATGTCCTGCGGCAGGGACGGGGCTGCAGACCGACTGCTGTGTTGGGAGGGACCCACAGGGACAGGGCCTTGGGGTTCCCATAGGGACCAGGCTCTGGGAGTCCCTGTAGTGCCATACGGATGGGGGGCCAAGCTCTGAGGGTCCTGATAAAGACCAGTCTGGGGGGGTCCCCACAGGTCCAGGTCCTGAGTACTCCTAAGGATCAGGCTTGGGGGGTTCTGCACAGGGACAAAACTCGATGTTCCTGTGGTCCCATAGGGATGGGGTTTGGGGGTCCCCGTAGCCCCACATGGCCCAGACCTGGCCCCATGTCACCATGGCCATGGTGCCAGGATGGGGGCAGCCCCCCAGGTACTGTGTCCAAATCCTACTCACCCTGCACCCAGCATCACCCCTTTCCCCCCAGTCCCCATCTGGAAGGACCCCCTGGGGCAGGGATCCATCTGTGGGTGACACCAGGTCCTGGTCAGCGTTTTGGGGTGCAGGGGAAGGGGACTCCACTCCCTGTGGTGTCCCCAAGCCCTCCCCAGTCCCCCATCACAACAGACCCCACTGTGCTGGGATGGCACTGGACGCCTGAGCCTCCCCCTGCCTGGGACCTGCCATGGAGACAGTTGTCATCGTGGCCATCGGGGTGCTGGCCACCATTTTCCTGGCATCCTTCGTGGCGCTGGTGGTGGTGTGCCGGCAGCGGTACTGCCACCCCAAGGACCTCCGGCACCACTACGACACCAAGTGAGTGACCACAGTGGTGGCATTGTCCCCGTCCCCAACGGGTGAGGGGGTCTACAAGCCCATGGGCTGGGGACGGTGCTGGGACATGTCAGCATCACCAGGCACGCATCCAGCATCAGCAGGGCGTTAGAAGGGAGCATGAGGTGTCCCTGTCCCCAGGGATGTCCCATGTCCCCAACAGACCCATTGTGGACCTCATGGGGACTTCTGAGACACCATCAGAGCCCTCAGAGCTGGAGCTGGACGATGTGGTCATCACCAACCCGCACATCGAGGCCATCCTGGAGAATGAGGACTGGGTCGATGACGCCTCGTAAGTGTGTGTATGTGTATCCCACTGCTGGGGACCCCATGCAGTGTCACCCCCCGTCATGGGGTGCAGGTAGCAGAGAGTTGGGGGTCACCAAGCTGGTCTCTGGGTGGGAATGTCCCCAAGGACCTGGGGCACATGGGGTGGGTAACTCATGGAGTAAGCCTGGATTCACACCCTCCTTCTCTGCAGGGGTCTGGTGTCCCACTGCATTGCCATCCTGAAGGTGAGTCCCTGTGGTGGCACCGCTGGCACCAAGTGCCCACCCTGGCCCCATTCCTGCTGTCTCCCCCCCCCCCAGATCTGCCACACGCTGACAGAGAAGCTGGTGGCCATGACCATGGGCTCGGGCGCCCGCGTGAAGTCCCCCGCCAGCCTTGGGGACATCATTGTGGTGGCCAAACGCATCAGCCCCAGGTGATGAGGACGGTGCTGGGGCTCGGGGTCACCGTGGTGTCCCCTGGGGTTAACGGCATCCCATGGGCAGGGTGGACGACGTGGTGAGATCCATGTACCCGCCGCTGGACCCCAAACTGCTGGATGCGAGGTGATGACAGCAGCGGGAGGGATGGGGGCAGCCCCAGGGGAGAGGAGGGGGCACCCATGGGTGACACAGGGGTGATCAGGGTGTGGAGCATCTCTTATGGGAAGAGATAGCAGGAGCTGGGCCTAGTTAGCTCAGAGGAGAGCAGAGAGGGGATCCAATCAGTGCAGGTCTCAAAGGCGGGTGCCAGGAGGATGGTGCCAGACTGTGTCCAGTGGTGCCCAGTGACAGGAAGAGGAGCAGCGGCCATAAACTAACACACAACAAGTGTCACCTCCACATGAGGGAGAGCTGCTTCGTACTGAGGGTGGCAGAGCCCCGGCACAGGCTGCATGGGGGGGTGCAGAGCCTTCCTCTCTGGAGACACTGAAACCCACCATGGGCATGTTCCTGTGTGCCCTGCTCTGGGTGGCCCTGCCCTGGCAGGGGTTGGACTGGGACCTGGAGCTGCTGGAGCGAGGGCAGAAGAGGGCACGGAGCTGCTGCGAGGGCTGGAGCAGCTCTGCTCTGGAGCCAGGCTGAGAGAGCTGGGCTGGGGCAGCCTGGAGAAGAGAAGGCTCCTGAAGGGGAGACCTGAGAGCAGCTCCAGGGCCTGAAGGGGCTGCAGGAAAGCTGGAGAGGGGCTTGGGACAAGGGATGTAGGGCCAGGCCAAGGAGAATGGCTTTAACCTGCCAGAGGGGAGACTGAGATGAGCTCTTAGGCAGAAGCTCTTCCCTGTGAGGGTGCTGAGGCGCTGGCACAGGGTGCCCAGAGAAGCTGTGGCTGCCCCATCCCTGGCAGTGCTCAAGGCCGGGTCGGACCGCGGGGCTCGGAGCGGCGCTCGGGGTGGGGCAGGCCCGGGGCTGACCCCGTGTCCCCGCAGGGCCGCGGCGCTGCTGCTCTCGGTCACTCACCTGGTGCTCGTGACCCGCAGCGCCTGCCGCCAGCCCGCCGCACGCCACTGGGTCGAGCGCTCGCTGGCGGCGGCGGAGGAGCACATGGCGGTGCTGCGGCTCGCGGCCATGGCCGCCGAACCCGAGCGCCCGCCCGGCGCCGAGCCCCTGCGCCAGGAGCAGTCGGTCATGTGACCCCGGCGCCGGCCGGGGCAGCGAGCGGGGGGGGCGGGGTGTCCCCGCGGGGGCTCCGTGGCTGTGGAACATGGGGGGACCCGGAGGGGGTGGGCGGGGGCCCGGGGTGAGGGGGATTGGAGGAGCTTGGGAGGGGAATTTGGGGAGGGTTTGGGGGTCCGAAGGTGGCTTAAGGGAGGTTGGGGGAGATGAAGGGGGGTGGTAGGGGATTGGGGGGGTCTTTGGGGTTTGACTGGGGATTAGCAGAGGTTTGGGGGGTCTGAGGAGGCCTGTGGGGGTTGAGGGAGGTCTCGGCGGGGGGGGAATGGGGTGTTGCCGATTTGGGTCTGTCTGAACAAAGCCACAGAGGCTGGTTTGATTCTGCACCGGGGTTGAGAGCCCGTGGGCAGAGCTGAGCCTCATTAAACACAGCCGAGATGCCACGAAATATGTGTGCCTCCAGAGCTGCTTCTTCTGCAGTGTGAATCCCAGGCCCTCCTTTACCAAAAGCTACTTGTGCCTCCCATTAGGTTCACACGTCTCCCCAGCAAGGGCAGCGGCTGCTCTGGGAGATGGAGACATTGATGAGTAAAAACTCTCCTGCCAATTCCACACTTGTGAGGGTGAAGGAAAGGCCACGCTTCCCTTTCCCGGTCACTGATCACAGGCATTGTCTCTACTTGTTCAATTCCCTTTTAACGTATTTAAATCCAAGGGAGCAGTTCCTGTACCCACTTAACAGTGCAGTTTGTTCTCTCCCAAACCTGAGGGTCCCCAGGGGCTCGGCCTCTGGGGACTCTCCCCCTCAGTGAAGAGTCCTGGTCTGCAGTAGGTCAGCGACTCCAGGATCCTCCTTCCTCTCGGGGCTCTTCCTTCCTGGAATTCTTCCGCCCTCGCCCCAGTTTCTGTGAACGCTCCCTCTCCCAACGCCCCTTTGCTCATGGAGCAGCCAGCTGTTTCCGCAGGGAAAAGGGGGGGGTTGGAAGTGGGTTGGGGGTGGTGGGGCAGGTTGGGGGGTTTAGGCGGGTGGCAGATGGGGACCGGGAGTTGGGGGGGGGGTGTTGGAGGAGGGTTGGGGGGTCCGGGGGGGGGCAGGGGCGCTGTGGGTGGTCCGGGCTCAGCACGGGCCCCGGGGCCGCTCGGGGGAGGGGGGGGTCCGTGCCCCCCGGGCTGAAACCCGCGCAACTCTTCGCACCCAGCCGCGGTGTGGCAGTGGTCATGTGACACCCCCCCAATCACGTGACGGGGCGGGGGAGTACGGGGTAAGGGTGAGGAGGCGGGTTTTCCCGCCCTTTTTCGCCGAATGGACCAATAGGAGAGGGGCTGGTGGGGAAATGAGCCAATGGGGAGCAGGGGTGGGGCTTTGTGGCTGGTTGGCACCGGGACCGGGACCGGGACAGGAACACGGACAGGGACCGGGACCGGGTACGGGGGCACTGGGAGGTTCTGGGGTCTCTGCGAGTCACGGGGGCTGTGGGGGCACTGGGAGCCGTGGGGGGTCTGGAGTTACTGGGGGGCACTGGGAGCAGCGAGCCCCCTCCGCAGAGACACCCCCCCCAGTAACACCCCCCCGTGACCCCTCTGCGACGTGTCCGGTACCGGGGGGGCTCTGGGTCTGCCTCAGTTTCTCCCCGGTTTGGAGCCGGGGGGGCAGCAGCCTCCCCCTCCTTTTGGCCCGCACACGTGTGACGGGGCCCCGCCCCCACAGCTGCGGGGGTGGATACCACGGGAAAGAGAAGTGAAAGTGATCCTGGAAGTGAGTTTACTGGAGGGGGGGGGGCAGCCCTTAGCACCCATCGGTACTGGGCAGGGGGGGCTGCCCGCCTCTGCCACCCCCCCCCCCCGACAGTCTGGCTTCCTGTGCCACGGGGAGATGTTATCGGGGTGCTGCGGATGGTGCCTGGGGTGCCAGACACCGCAGCAGCCACACTGGGGGGGGTGGGTACCCTCCCCCGCGCACCCTGGGGTGGGGGAGCCCTGGGTGAGGAAGGGGGAGCTGGGTTTTTTCCAGCATATGGCTGAAAGGGGAAGTGGGACCGGGGGGGGGGGCGGTGCCGGAGCACAGACCTGCTGCCCCCCACTTTGTGAGTTGGAAACTGAGGCATGGCTGTGCCGGCGGGGTTCTGCCACCCGCAGATGCCACCAGCGCCATGAGGACCCTCCTGCTGCTGTTGCTGGTCCTGTCTGGAGCCAGCGCCTGGTGCCGCGATGGGCAGCTGTGTCCCTCCACCCCGGTGAGTGCCCAGGCTGAGGGGGGTCCGGCGGTGCCCCACCACTGGGTAACCCCCCCCATGCATCCCCCTGTCCCCAGGTCCTGCATGCCAACAGTGCAGTGCCGTGCCGGGATGGCCCGTCCTGCCCCAGCACAGGCAGCTGCCCACTGCCAGAGGTGAGTCTCTGCACTGTGCCTGTTTCCCCCTTCTCTCTGCCATTCTCAGGGGGCTTTTCCTCCTCATCTGCCCCCTTCTCTCTCCCCAGAGCGTCCTCTGTGCTGACGGCCACCACTGCTGTCCCCGAGGGTCCAGTTGCAGCGCCGATGGTGAATCCTGCATCACACCCCCAGGTAAGGGGGGGGCACATGTAGGTGGGGGTACACGGATGGGCCTGGGGGTGGACAGGATGGGACCTGGGGGTCCTTCACCCCATCCCCACTCTCCGCAGCCCCTCACGCTGTGCCCTGTCCCGACGGACAGTCTGAGTGTCCCGATGATGCTACCTGCTGCGTGACAGCCAGCGGCGCCTGGGGGTGCTGCCCCATGCCCCAGGTATGGGGGGACACACGACATGGGGACATTGTGGGGGAGACATCATGTGGTCATTTCTGTGACAAGTGTCCGGTGCCCGCAGGCCTTGTGCTGCGCCGACAAGGTGCACTGCTGTCCCCATGCCACCGTCTGCGACCTGGCCCACGGGCGCTGCCTCTCACCCACCGGTGACACCCCCATGGGCACCACCTTCCCTGCCTGGAAGCGCCAGCCCCCGGTGTCAGGTAAGGGGTGTTCCCACCCGGGTGGATGGGTGCCCATAAAGGGGGGCACGAAGGGGACAGGAGGACGCTGTGTGCGTGTTCCCGCAGTCGCACTGCACCAGGTCCTGTGTCCCGACGGCCGCTCTGCCTGTCCCGACGGGGCTACCTGCTGCCAGATGTCCCCGGCGCAGTACGGCTGCTGCCCCCTGCAGAACGTGAGTGACAGCCCTGCGACAGGCACCCTGTGCTGGGTGCCCCACGCTGGGCACCCTGTACCAAGCACCCTGTGCCAGGCACCCCACACCAGGCAGCCCACAGCAGAGACACCCTCCCCCAGTAACACCCCGTACAGTGACCACCCCCTCCTCAGTGACCCCAGACCTCCACACCAGACACCCCACACTGAGAATCCTGTGTTGGGCACCCCCATATCAGGTACCATGTCCCAAGCACCCCACACTGAGCACCCCATGGCAGCTGCCCCATACCAGCACCCTGTGCTGGCAGCCCATACTGAGCACCCCATGTTGGGTACTCTGTGCTGAGTGCACCATACCAGGCATGCTGTCCCCATCACCTCATGTCAGACACCCTGTGCTGGGCACCCCGTGCCCTACCCTGTGCCATGAACCCCACGCTGTCAGCCCATCCTGTCCCACTGTGTCCCGGTGGGGCCCCGGTGCAGCAGCAAGGATGCAGCTCTCCCCTGCAGGCTGTTTGCTGCAGCGATGGGCATCACTGCTGCCCTCAGGGCACTGTCTGCGACCTGGAGCGTTCCACATGCACCTCCTCCGTGGGCCGGGAACCCCTCCAGGCGTTCCTGCACAAAGGTGAGGCCCCCCCATGCCCTGCCCCTGCCTGGGGAGGGGACAGCGGCTCTGAGTGTCCCCTTGTCCCCAGCACGTGATGTGAAGTGTGATGAGGAGACGAGCTGCCCGGATGGGAACACGTGCTGTCGGCTCAGCTCGGGGGCTTGGGGATGCTGCCCACTGGAGGAGGTATGGGGGGCCTGTCCCCAGAGTGTCCCCTGGGTGGGATGAGGGCTCATGTCCCCTGTTCCCCAGAAGGGACAAAGGGCTCATCCCATGGGGTTAGGGGGTGCTGCTGGACCCCCAGTCAGCCCCTGTCTGCTAACTGGGACCAGTTAGGGGTGGTGGGAGGTGATGGAGGGACACAAGGCCACTGGATCCTTGGAGACCTTCCTGTGCCCAGCGCTGGGAGGGTCAAGAGTGATGAGGGGGTCCCATATCCCCTCACCACCACCCAAAAGTGTGGATGGAGCCAGGCTGGGATGGGGAGGGAACAGGCAGGAGTAAGCAGTTTGTCCTTGGGGTGGGGCAGGCTGGGCTCTAACCCTCCCTTTGCCCCCCCCAGGCCGTCTGCTGCCCCGACCACGTGCACTGCTGCCCCCAGGGCTATACCTGCGACCCAAGTGCGGGCAGCTGCCTGCAGCAGGGGCGGGGGCGCCGGCCCTGGCTGCGGAAGATGCCGGCGCTGTTGCGCAGGGGGGACGTGCAGTGTGACGAGGAGACGAGCTGTCCCCAGGGCAGCACTTGCTGCCGGCTCAGCTCGGGGGCCTGGGGGTGCTGCCCGCTGGAGCAGGTCTGGGGGGACTGTACGAGGGTACAAGGGGGTGGGGTGGAAGGGGGGGGTTTGGGGTTTTTGGGGTGAGACCGTCTGGGGACAGGCAGAGCTGGGAGGGGGGAGACAGGGACATAGAACACCCCCACCTCCATCAGTGTGCCCTTCCATGGGGGCTTTGTGGGCACCTTGGGGACAGGGCCCAGCACAATCCCTGGGGCTGGGGTTACATGTTACATGAGGTTGGGGTCTGGCCCAGGCTCACACCCCTTGGTCCCCCATATGCCTGCGACCCCCACGGACCCCCTCCGCCCTTGCCCCCTTCAGGCCGTGTGCTGCAGGGACCACCAGCACTGCTGCCCCTGGGGCTACACCTGCAACGTGGCCACCCAGAGCTGCGAGAAGCTCCTGACGCCCACCTTGCTGCTGGGAGCACGCACTTCTCCCCCCTGGGCACCCACCCCGCGGCCTGCCTCCCTGCGCGCTGCT